GAATTTGTAACACAAATTACCCTTGCCTTTACTTCTCCTTCACATCTCCTATTATGATTCAAGGACTTTTCCCCTTAGAGGCAACAGTTATGCAATGTAGGAGTCTTTTAGATAGACCCACTCACTGAAGGGGTACTCCAGTTGCCTCACCCTGCATCCCTGTTCAGCATGGAAGAAGCCAGAGCGGTCTGTGTCCCTATTCCCTATTGGCAATTTGGGTAACCCCTTCAGAGGATGGTGTGATAAGAATAGGAGGTAGGAATTGGCTAGGCAGGGTAAAAAGACCCCAAAGAAATGCAGCCAGATTTTTGGCTGAAAGTCAAAATGTCCTTGGGCCTGTTAACAACATACTCTGTTCCAAAGGCCAAAAAAGTATTTGGGAGCTTATATCTAATCCTTAAAAGATTTTAGGGTTACCGCTTGGGGAGGGGGGTGTTGGAGGGGAGGGAGTGGGTATGGATTTGATCAAAACACCTTATATGCATGTATGAAATTCTCGTTTTTGTAAAAGTTAAAAACAAAAAAGAAAGAAAGGTAAGAAAGCTAAAATGGGGGGGGGGGGACCTGGGTGTTACCTGTTCAGCAGGTAAAGTACTTGCTATGCAAGCCTGATGACCTGAGTTCAGATCCCCATTAGCCACATAAAAGCCAGGTGTTGCCTCGGCCATCTGTAACCACAGCACTGACAGTCATATAAGTAAATCTCAAGGGCTGAAAACAGCAAGCTTCAAGTTCAATGAGGAGACCTTTCCTCTAAAAATAAAGCAGAGGGGCTGGAGAGATGGTTCAGCAGGTAAGAGCACTGGCTGTTCTTGCAAAGGACCTGGGTTTCATTCCCAGCACCCCCATGGCAGTTAACAACCATCCATAAGTCCAGTTACAGGGGATCCAATGCCCTCCTCTGGCCTCTGCAGACATTGCATGATATAGCTGTACTTATATACATGCAGGCAATACACTCATACACATAAAATAAAAATAATAAATAAAATATTTTTAATAAATAAAGTGGAGG